AGAACTCTAGTTTTAGCTGATCTTAAATTAAAAGTCCCTGCATGTGTGTAAAATCAGTATCGGTGTTTAAAACATGATCAGCTGATTTTATATGGTAATATCAATGTGAATAGGTTGTGATGTTGGTGCGATGCAAAAGATATAAAATTTAACAACCGTAACAATAAACATCATCTGAGTGCTCATGTTTCTTGACCCGTACACTTATTTTGGGTGATGTCATCATGTTCCCAGAAGCAATTTACTTTGTGAGTATAATGTTATCATTACCGATAGAAATGATGAGAAAAGGTCAGACCCAGGTGGGAATAAACTACAGATTTCCTTTAAGTTCAAAGTGAAATCAACCTGCACTCCACCAACCTTCAAATATCACAGGTATATTGATCTCTGATTAAAGGAATTCTTCGCTTACAAAATGACCAATAGTGTGTCCATTACCAACACTGTGTTATGCTGAATTCTTGAAGAAAAGCATGTTTGTCTCACATGCCTCCACAATGAACAAAGAATCCAAAAACACTGAAGAGTCTGGATGAACTTAAGTGAAGGGGTCCGCGTTTCACAACAGCAAAGCTTTATCAAAATATCACACAACTGGTGGAATATAATCCAAGGTCTGGTGAGGGATTTGGGGATTCAATTAGCCACAATAAAGAAAAAAATATTTTAGTGATACATTGATACCCATTGAGTGCACAGTTTCACACGTACAGTTTCACATGGTGTGTGTTTGGGATACAGGTCATAGGAAATTGCAGATTAAATAGTCAACTGAACCCATTAAGAAGAGCAATGTATTCAGACAGAGTTTTTGTGAATTTGATAGTACGATTGCTTTATTGAAAGTACAGTAGTACCATTGCCAATAGCGAGATAGTTAGTGGGCTAAAACTGTACATTAGTAGTTGAGGTAGCACACTGAAAGGCAGATAGTTAAAGTCATTGCCTTATAGAAGCTCAGTTTTAGGAAGTTTTCCAACTTTTGCCAAGAGCAAAAGAGTTTCATGCAGATCGGTCAAACTTCCTAGGAAGAGATGGATTTTAAGTGTTTAAGTTATGGGTTCTTGGGGCAAATTTGTTCCTCATGAAGAGAGGCATCTCTGTGCAAAGTTTCATGTCTCTACGACATACGGAGCATGAGATATGCCCATTCAAAGTTTGCAATTTCAATCGGTTGCTATAGCGCCCCCTTTGGCCAAATGATGTAATATTGCTTCATTCACATCCTCCCATGACCCTTTACCACTGTGCCAAATTTCACATGGATTGACCAAGTCAGTGAGGAGAAAAACGTGGAACAGACACACAGACACACCCACATACCCACAGACAGACACAGTTTTCGTCATTATATAGTAAGATGTACATTGTCCCTCTATAACAAATAAAGGTAAATGAAATGAAATGCACTACACCCAGACTGGCTTAACTAAATGCTGCTCAATTATGAACTTCAGTTCGACTGTCCTACCAGCAGAACCAGCAAAAATATAAGGCAGTGCTTACAATATCTGCTCCTCCTGTCTCCTACTCAGCTGCTCTCGAAGCGCTTGCTGATCTTGCCTGAGGTCCTGCAGAAGACAGATGTACCATCAGAAAGGCACAATGTAAGTAAATGTACACACACACACACACACACACACACACACACACACACACACATCATACAGTATGTTGTACATACCTCGATGGTGTTAAAAAGCTCCTCAATCTCATTTTTTATCATCATCATGGATTTCTGCCAGAAACAAAGATTAAGTGACATTTTCATCAACTCACCAACAACTCAGATGGAAAATGGAGCTCAGAGACACTGACAAAATGATATGTTGAAGATTTCATAAAAGTGTTAATACTGTCTGTATCTCCTCATCTTTAGTCCACAGGACTACCTGAAGCTGCTCCAGTTTGTGCTACAAAACACAACAAGTCAACTACCAACTCTGATTCTACAACTTGACTGAATGAACGAGCTATTTGAACAGGTGAGCACTTTGGAAGAGTGTATATCATCACATTAGTTGAAGTCAAGAACAGTGTTTTACCTTTAATTCCTGCTCAGCTGTCCTCAGGTTCTGTATTTGTTCCGGAAGTTTCTCTCTCTGAGAGAGTTGTTCCAGCTGAAAGAGAAACAACTCACAGTGAGAGTGGGATCCAAAGCTGCTAAACACTTTTATTTTTAGTTGTGGCTGTGGTTTTTCTACAATTCTATCAGTGACTTTGGCATGTATCCAACCATTAAACACTTCAGCGTTTGGCTGTGGTATATGACAGTCAGGTCATACCTGAGCAGTCAAATCCTGTTTTTTCTCCGTCAGCTTCTTATTTTCCTTTTCCTGCACAAAAACAAAGATGAGCAATAAAATCAGAATGAGAAATCTACAGCAGTTTAGGTGGAGGCTGCTGGCTGCTGAGATCTTCTCTTGAGCCAGACACACTCCTGCTACAAGGTTGCCTCATTCACTATCAACTTTACACACAGTATATTTCAGTGTTATAAATGATCTTTGTCACAGAATGTAAAATAAGTTGTACACAGATGAATAGAAGAGAGCCTGTTTAGTTTAGTGCTAGACTACACCCTCCACAGTTCACATTCCAAACCTGAGTGTGTCAGAGCAGGAAAGTCTAACCTTTTTACTAATGACAGGTAATGATGAGGCTTTCCACCATGCTGCATTCTGAATTGCTCATCTTTGCATTAATGACACTGACAGGAAGACACTCTAATGAAATGAACAGGAGATGAAATGTCAGCATGTTCCCACCGTCTTCCATATGTGAACTGAGAGACTCTTAGGCTTCCTGCTTTCCTCCTCCTGCTAGTGCAAGGTGTCTTCATCCTCCTCCCTCCTCTTCCTCAAGTCCTCAACCTGCTGTTGTAACCTAAATGCAAAATCAACCATCAAACATTTATATAAGCTACCATTTCCTCTCTGGAGAAGATGCATGTAGGAATGAAGTGTTATTCTTGGAGTAGCATTATTATGATTATGTAAATATTTGTTCTCAGCCTGTAGATATGAGATTCATTCAACAACATTACATAGAAGGTGAATTTTAGAGCCAAACAGACTCAGTGGCCAGTGTGTACACACTTTCTTGCCATGATGCCTATAGTAAGAAAAAAGTCTGGTTATCTAGGTGTCATACTTTTTCAGTTTGCTGGCGAGGTCCTTATTCTCAGCTTCTATCATATTCATGTCCGCCTCACGGTCCAGTCCATGTTCCAACCACTTCTGATGGAGCTCCCTCTGCTGTCTGTATCTGCTTCCAGTTTTATGGAGTATTCTCCTGAGCTCTTCTCTGTGACTACAGACACAACACAATAAAAAGTTTACACACTGACAGGTGTCTTTATCACATATTGAGTCAAGACGTATCCACCTTATACCTGGAGTGCTACTGTAGAAATGATTATGGTTTAACCTACAGTGAGATAGGCCAGGGGTCTTCAACATTTAGGCCAAGGATGAGAGATGGAGTAGGGACCCCCTACTCCAGATATTGTATAAAACTGAGTTGCACTTGAGAAAAATCTTTGAATATTTTTGGGTCCTCTCTTGTTAGTGCAACCTGTAGCTGCTAACTAAGCAGCAGTTGAAGTATGGCTAGGTGTGTTAGCCTCACCCACTGCAGTTTCAGCGGGGGTTTCTGGGGTGGACGGCATGTCAGAGTCTTTTGCACATAAGGTTACAAAACGATACAGTGTGGCTCACAAGGATGTAAGAGATTGGAATAATAAAACAGCTAAATGGCCAATGTGTTTCAATAAAACATCAACTAACAAGATTACCTTGCTATGATGGAGAAATGCTGCACAGTGATTTAGCGTTAGCTAGCTCTCATGATTGCAAAAGGACACATGGGTAACAATTAGACCCTGTGCAGTAACTCTGAGGACACCCTAGGGGTCATGAACCCCCTGTTGAAGACCCAAGAGATAGAGGAAGTTTGTCTCACACACACACACACACACACACACACACACAAACAAACACACAGCTTTTGCATAATATTCATGTAAAAACAACATACAAAAGTCTACAAATGAACCATTTGATAACTAAAAAGATATTTCAAATCCTTGGTTATGATTTTGTGACCTTTTGAGGAAACATTTTCAAAGGAAAACAACATAGAGTGCCCCAGGAATGAGTCCTACAACCCGGAAATGTTAGCATTTTAGTACTACTGGTTCCCTTGCCTTGAAGTCCATGCGTTTTTACTTAGATTCCTGAAATAAGGTGTGTGGTTAACACAAGATACAACATAAACTACATCAGTAAATAACCCACCCATGAATTTTGAAGCTTTTACGTGTCTTAAAAAAGGCGGTTGCTGACAAGTGGCTAAATAAGACAACAGAACGTCATCATGCTGAACTTGGCTTTACAGCCTCATTGTGGTAGAGATGTTAAATCATGCAACCATGCTGTAGTTCATTTATAGCCTAATGTTGCTTTTTTACAGGGGAACCAGGGTGAAGCTATCTTGAGCTTTAGCCAATAAAAACATCATCTCTGGAGCACTCCATAGGATAAAGGTTTGGGTCACACTTCCTTGAAACAACTGGAAAAAAGGTAGCCTGCTAACTTTAAGTTCAATAACTCACCTACTAACAGCTCTAAAGCTCAGTAATTATCAGGTTGGATCTGGTCTGTTATATCTTTACACAGACACAAATATAAAAACGTCAGTTTGTGTTTTTAGGTGGGGTTACACATTGAAACTATATGTCTTAAAGAACAAAAGTGTAGCCATCCACTCAGTACTTCAGTGCAGTGTCTCCGTTTGTCTTGCAACCTCAATGTGACAACAAGACTCCAGAGAATCACACCGCCCAGCTTTATTATGTCAGAAAATGTTTTCAGCATAGAACTCCTAATAAACCAAACCAAAATGTTGAACTTTTTATTCAAAGTAAGATTCCTTGACGGGGCTGTTCATTACTCATGAGGAGGGGGAGGTGGTGCAAAAAGGGGAGGCAATTTGAATACTTTTCTAAGCACTGGAGAGGTACTTATGTTTTTTATTTTGGCTTAGGGGAGGGACTTACAAAGATAAATGTCTGTATTTAGTATTTATTTTACCGCCAATTTTTAAAGAAAACTTGCATAGATTTGGAAGGCATGTCTTTTAAAAAAAAGAAAAAAAGCCAAAATTACACCATTTATAGCCAGACACTGTAAAAACAGAAATTGTTATTGGATTTTCACATTTCAGACAGTCCTTGGACACATCACGTGCGACAGGAATAAAAAAAAAAAAAATCACCAAAATCATTTTATTCTACGTCTCATTTAAAACTGGACCAGAAATAAACGGTTTGCACGAAGTAACCAGCATGCATGACATGAGTGAATAACCAAGGCTTTTTTTAACTCCAGGATTTTGTCTTTAACTTTTAACTTAAAAACATCAAGGGCTAAGTTTTAAAAACTATTAACTAATTTATGGTGGAGTGAGGGTCATGGATTTTCTGCCAGTCACAGAGGAAGGCTTGAGGAATAACATTTTAGGCTTCAGGTAAAGTGTAAAAAAAAAAAAAAAAAAAAAAAACAGGGAAAAAAAGTCACACCCCAGCCACCCCCTCCTCTGCTAAGTAAAGAACAGTCCCTAGATCATTTTACCACAGCTCAAACTGAAAAAAAGATATGCAGGGAGTTTGTTATGGCCTGTACAAGTGAGCCCTCAGCTCAGCTCAGCTCAGCGGTTTGCTGCCTTGCTCAGCAGCTCTTCAGCAGTCTGCCCGGCTGCTGACTGATAGGAGATTGATCCTTATTCTGCTGCTTAGTTTGACCATACTTGTCTGTCTGTTCCTTGTTCCTCTATGCCTTTTGAGTGTGTGTGAGACAGTGTAATGGAGTAGTGAACTACATGTTATTAAACTAGTGGTTTAACTACATTGATATTTGCATAGTGATTCAAGCATTTTAATTACTTTTTTTGGTAGTTAACTATTGAAACTACAAACAATTTTGGGTCACAAAGGAAATAAATGTTTTTTTTCCCCATGGCTTCTCTTCTGTAATTAAACAACCTTTGACCAGCTATGCCCCCTTTTTTCTTTCACCCTGACCACTTTGTTCATGCAGTGCATTTGTAAGGCAGTCACCATCGCACACTTGACCTTTCACCTTTGTGAAGCACCTGTGCAAAAGGTTGAGCGTTGCTAGGTGCTTACACAGCCACGGCATCATCATGCATAAACCTCCAGAACCTCAGCCAGGAGAAGAATCACCATGGCCATACTATATGGGTAACTTCAGTACTTTCAACCTGGACCGTATTTTCAGTCGACTGTGCAATGTCGATTAATGTCCACTAAAAGTGTTTGTATTTGTCACTGACAGGCTCAGATTGTTGTTGTAAGTGTCTGACAATATTGTAGACAGGACAGAGAAATGACTGTTTTTCCTTCCCTTTCACTGGTCTGTTATTGTGACCAAGTCACTCAAGGAAAAGCCTTGTTCTGAGCCATGACACTGAAAATCTGTTAGATAACAGTAAGCCATGCTTTCTGTACTTCAACACAACAAACTCTTCCTGGCTCTCCTCTCTCCAACTGTCACTAACATATCCAATGTTGTTTTTCCTGCAACAAGTCACCTCTACAGATTTCAGAACAACAAACAGACCAGTGAAAGGTAAAGGCAAACATCTCATTTCTCTGTATGGTCATTTCCATAATCTTATAAGACACTTCAAATAACAATCTGAGCCTGTCAGGGGCAAAAACAAGCATGTATAATGGACATAAATTGATGGTGCACAATTGCCCATAGGGATTAGGCCTACATTGCAGCCTGTTCTGCTGCTGCAGCTTTCTCAACACTGGACTAATTTCAAAAATTGTTTTCTCCAGTAGCCACTTAGACCCCCGCAAAAAAACCCTGGGAAAAACCAGTCCAGGTTAAAAAAATACCAACGTTTGCATTTAAGCAAACACATGATGTTGACTAGCCCAACTGACAAAACCACGGCTTTACCTGTGAGCTTTGCAAGCCAAGAGTAAATATACTCTCTACTGCAAAGACGGTCAACACAAATCTAAGAACATATAAAGGTCAGTGTGGTAAAGAAGTATTTCACTGATTGATAACCTTTACATAAAACTGGGCTGTCTATGCCAAAGAAATACACAAAATCTTTTTGAAACTGGTGCTACATGACCAGAGAAAACAGAGAAAAGGGGCTGTGAGATTTGTGTCTCAAGAGGTAAAAACCTACAAGTACCACAGTGCACTGCGTTGCACCAGACCAACAAATGCCCCTGCTGGTAGGTGAGGTAATGTGAGCTGACAGAATGAAAGGAATTACAGTTAAACTGTGAGCTAAAATAGGTTTGTGAAAGCATTTCAGGTGAGGTAAAGGTAATGCAGTAACGGAATCTTGGTTAATCTTTGATCGGTGCTTCTCAGTTTTGATTTCATTTTTTTCAGCCTCCATTTTTACAATACAGGAAAGAGTATGGCACCCACCGCCTGTTCACAAATTCTCCTATTACAGCCAAACTGAGCACTAAAATATGTTTCTGGAGAAATTTTAGGTGAGAAAAATGAAATTAAGTAACAGAATCTTGGTTTAAATTCGATCAGCACTTTAGACTTTCCAGTTTAGAATTTTCCGAGTTTGAGAGCGAGAGAGAGACGGCTCTCTTTCTCAATCAGCTTCTATACTCTGTACGTGGTGACGGCGGGCATACAAAAATGCGGAAATACAATCTTTAGTTAGAGCAACAGCCAGAGAGCCAGCAATTATCCACCGGATGACATGATTTGAGTTGAGAGTAGAGCAGGGAGATATGGGCGCTGACAAGATAGAGGGAAGTTTACCACAGTTCATTTACACATACTACCCACACTGTTATGATACAAAGCTGGTTGAAAATCAACAAAGTATCCCTTTAACATTGACTTTGCTCGCCAATTTAGCATAAATTAGACAAGTCAGCTATATTGTAATGTTACATACAGGATGGACACTGTGCACAAAACCAAAGCTGACATTCCTTGCACTTTCCCATGAATATTGGGGTATTTTATTGTTTTTGGTTTATGTATGATTGCTGAAAACGTGGACACTTTTTGCAATAAACTCAATTGAGTGCCATTCTTTGCTTGCACTTGTCTTCTTTGTTTTATCGTTTCACATGTACATTGTCAATTTGATCATTTTTTACTAAGTAGTTCCAACTTTTTCTAAGTAGTTCTAGTTAACCAAACTAGATTTCTCCCGAGGGTAGCTTTGCTGTAGTTCAACTTCTTCCACTGTGAAACAACTGGTAGCTTGCAAAGCTATGCTTTCAAAGTAGTTTCCCCAGCATTGGTTGTAAATGTGTTTTGGTACAATCACGTATCCCTCTCCACACGCTGCTGGCGCCTTGCGGCAGGTCCTTGGTGTTTCACATGCCGCCTTCAGCCTCTTAAGTTGTCTCTCCTGCCGCCGGCACTTCTGCTGCGCCGTCTTCAGCCTCTTCTTCAGACTTCCCAACTGCTCCAACAGCTGCGCAATGCGCTTCTTCTGCCGAGCAGAGTCCTCTGCTGTGTAGTTATGGTCACAGGAGACCGCCACTGTGTCGCACTGGGTGTCAAGCAGGTTCCTCCTGGGTTCCTCCTCCTCCTCCTCCTCCTCCTGTTCTTCTGCTGGGTCAGAGGTCAGAGGCAGAGAGAGAGGAAAGCGGATCTCAGAGGGGAAGTGATCCTCAAGGGACTCCGACTGTCAGACAGAAAACAAACAAGAGTTCTGATGCTGCTTTCTGAACTAATCCAATATCACACAAAATTAAAGACGTCCAAAGACAACAGAAATAGAGACCCTAATGAGGACTGGAGCTTTCTTACACTATGATTAAGCTTAACCCTACTGCTTGCTGAAAGACTGCATACAAAAGACCCCCATACACTCCCACCCCAAAAAAACCCAGATCTATACAATTTACATGGATCATACATTTTTAATTACGAGCAGTCAATTAATCCAAAAAGTGACTGGTTTGCAGGTAGGGATGCGAGATAATATCGGCACGTCATCAGTATCGGCCAACATGCTTTTTCTTATTTTGCAAAATGAATGAATATTACATACATTAAAAAGAATTCCATTTCATGCCTCCATCTGCTGGTGAGTCATCACAATAAGAGTATGCAGGTATAATATGATATTATTCCACTACAGAAGAGACTTGATGATCACTAAAATTAGGTGGGAAAAAAGTGGACATATCAGAATCAGTTTTCAGCCAAATAAGTTGTTTGGTGGCATATCGAATATCATAAAAACCCCAATATGGTACATCCCTATTGGCAGGTATGCTTTAATACTAAATTCAGAGCTGTTTCTCTCATTTGGAGAACCAATCAACCAATCAGAGATAAGTAGGAGTGACTACAATTGGAGATATCATTTTCCTGCATGGCTAGTTAGTAGGTTTGGAAATTAGCACCTGCCAAAAGCAGCTGAATTTGGTGGGTGGCAGGTGGATATTATTAATATATCCGCCACAGTGTCGGGTAAAAAAATTTAACAAACAAAAAAAAAGTCGACTCAATCATGGGATGCTCTATCTAAGTAGTGTAGTGTGTCACTGCATCTTCTTTACCAGTCTGAGTGAGGTCTTTCTTCTTCATCTTCTTGTTTGTGTTTACTTGTGGAATGCAAACCAACAAACCAACTGCTGTAACCTACACTGTAGCTTGACGTGCACCTCCCCAGAAATGTAACTACACATCGCGGTGACGCAGACTTGTCTATTTTTGTAAGCTGAAAAGCATTTCCCTCTGTGGAAACAAAGCTTTCATTTACTTTGTTACTTTATTTATTTACTTTACTTTATTCTTTATTCATTGTTTACTTTTATTTCAGAAACAATACATTGTGAAGACAATAAAGCCCACACAAAATAGCATATTTAGTTTTGTGTGTGACTTATCCTGATGCTAAGCTAGGCTAATTAATAGAATGGAAAATGCCATAGGCTTGTGCTAATAACATTAGCATGTATTTGTTTGGAAAAGGTGTTTAGTTTAAGACAGTTGTTTTGTCAGTGAACCTTGTGTGTTGCAACTGAGCAAAATTTTGTAATGTTAACCTAATCTCTGCTAGCCCCTAGGCTAAATTATACAATGTAAAATGCCACAGGCTTGTGCTAATAACATTAGCATGTTGTATTTGTAGGGAAAATGTGTCCAGAAAAGACAGGGTTTTGTCTGTGAAACCTGCAAGTTATAATGAAGCTGGTTTATAATCTCGTAATGGAAACTGTCAATATTAAGTCATGTTTAATGTGTGTTTTGGGTATATTTTGAATCAGTCAATCTTCACAGCACTTCACAGATCAAGTATTTTATGGCCAATGTGGCAACATGTTACTGGCATATAGAGAGTGGCTGATGTCACAGAGCCCACACATGAGGAGACAACTTCAATTCATGAACCAAAAGTAAAAAGGTGATTCTTTTAGTGATAAGTAATAAAATAAATAATAATAATCTTCTTACTTGGGTGTCTGCATTTTGATTTTGTGCATTTGAAGTGTGTGTGTGTGTGTGTGTGTGTGTATCTGTGTGATGGAAATAATTAAAAAAGTTGATAAGCATTACATTAAATATTAAACCGATACTCTCTGAGAAAACTACGTGTATTCAGGTTGTTTTTTTCTTTGCACAGACAAACATTATTTTAAGGTTAATAACACAGAAAAGTGTGATAACAGAATAGTGGCTGCAAAAGTATGAGTGGCTGGTAGAATTTAAACTCCTCCAGCCACTGGCTAGTGGAAGGATAAGTTTATTTACAGCACTGCTAGCTAGCTATGTAACTACATGCATGAAAAAGCCCAATCACAAAGCATGCCTCAAAGGGCTGTACAAATAGCAATTTCAATTCAATTTAAATTTGATCTATAAAGTCCAAAATTACAAATCAAAGTTAGCCTTAGAGAGGTTTACATCATATGACATCCCTTAGACCCTCACAGCAGGTAAGTGTAGAATTTAGTGGCATCTAGCACTGAGATTGCAGATTGCAACCAACTTAACCAGCCATTTAACAAACAGTTTTTGGATACTTTTGTAGGTATCTCCACCCACAGGGAGATGTCAGACCCCTCATAAATTCTTGACAGATCTGACTCTGACATGAATGTTATTAGTAACATGAAGGAGGAGAGTCAAGTCATAAATACAGGAACGTGTAACACTTGAAATCATTGTTCTCAGGAACCTTAAAGGTCCAGTGGGTAGGAATTAGAAGGATATATTGGCAGAGAAGGAATATAACTAGCTGTTTTTAGTGTTATCTGAAAAAAAGAATTGTTTTTTTATCTTAGAATAAACCTTAAAAGCTTCCCTTCTGAAAGAATTTTAGTTTTTGAGTCTTTTGTTTCTAACTTAAGTGTTGTCTCTAATGTGAGGCAGTTGTGTTTTTTTTGTTGTATGGGAGTTCCAAATAAAAGAAGAAAATAATCAAATGTGATGAAGTGTGATGATGAGGTGTTTCACCTTGATGTTGAGATTAAAGGTGAAGAGTGATGGCACAGCGTTCTCCTTCAGCACTCTGTTGTTGCACTCTCTCTTGAAGCAGTCTTTGGTGAAGTGCTGCGAGCAGATGTTGCTGTACTTTGTCGGCTTGAAGTTGTTCCTCCTCATTGCCGCCACCCATTTGCCGCAAACATCTGGGCGTGCCAGAGGAAACCTGACAAAATTAGATATAAATACACTGAATTTATATAGCTCTTTTCTAGATACTCAAAGACACTTACAAAGAACAACAACAATGAAACAAACAAACAACAATACAAAGATGAAATAATCCATAAGAAAGGAAACAATGCAAAGGGGAGAAGAAGAACACAGTTTTTTAGAGGTTGTAGACAACTTTGAAGAGGTGCGTTTTCAAAGATTTCTTGAAAAACCGAACACCTCAGGATTTGTTCCTTGTGTGTATATTATTTCATCAACATCGAACTGATATCAGTTCCTAGTCTGGTTATCAATAATCCATGCAAGTTATTCAGGAAGTAAACTTTATGTCAAAATTGTTAGCAACAGTTTGGTTCTGTCTTCAACATTTCAGAGGACATCTTGTCCTACCCAAGGAGCTCAGGTCAATGAAACAGCAACTTCAACAGCAGATTCACCTATTAACTGTCACCTGGGTGTCATTGCCTTTCTCACCCTGCTGGGATTAAAAAGGTTCTAAACCTCTCACTCGAACAGTTAAACAAATCAGTGGGCTGCAGACTGCAAAATAAAATTGATAAAGGGAACTTCAACTTTATATTGATTACTCTGTACGTTGTTGTTATTTGACAGTTCAGTTGATAGTTCAGCTCGTCTCACATGGCCAAACCCACAGGGTCTCCACATGTTTGCCAGCAAGGGACGACTTCAGGCTAACCTTAGCCGACAGATGAAGAACTGTAACCAAACTCCATTCAGAATGTATGGACTTAATTACTCTCGTATTTCTAGAACAGGAAAACATGTTGGAGAATATGATGATGAGTGTTAATACGAATATGTGTTTCATCCTGGTAAATTCGGCATAAAGAAATCTGTGAACTAGCAACTAAGTTGAGTTTTAATAACATCGACACTGCAATGTTTGAGAGTCGCCACCGTAACCACGATGCAGGTTAACTTGTTACTTTGGAGGAGGAGGACTGTGTGACTGGTGAGCGGACTTAACACAGGACTGTATTTATCAGTGTAAGAAGGTAATTGATGAATTGTCTGTCACCCGATTTTACCAGTAAAATCTATTTACACAAGAAATGACTTTCCTCAAATTCTATCACTCATGTACTGTTGCCAACGACCAATTAAGCTTTAATAAGGCAAATTAGTAAACGCAGGCTGGTGAACTCTCTCTTGATACTCCTCACCAGTACAACACAGTGCTTATCCGTCATGTCTGGACACAAATGCTAATTAGCTCACACACATTGTCTCACTGAACTTACTTGTGAAAGGAAATGGCTTTATCTTTATGGTAGCGGTTTTTACAACCGTACGCTGAGCACGTCTGAACCATGGCTGCTGCCCGGACGACACTCACTGAGGCCCGGACTGATGCCTCACGAAGTTCCGCTGCTGCGCCTCCGCACCCTCCACAAAGACTTCACTGCCACTAACAATGATGGCGGCAGACCTGGGGTCACGCGAGCTGAGATGACGGATCTGATTGGCAGAACGCGCTTCCTGTAATATCTCACAATGTCCACCAGGGGGAGAGAAAGATTCATTATCTCATGGTTGTCTGTTGACAAATTCTCTGGCATGCTTTGATTTGATCTTTTATTCCCTGTTTAATTTGATTAGAAATGATTGAAATATTGATATTCGACCTGGTTATTACGGAGACACATGTTATGGACCGAAAATTCATTTACAAAAGTACTACACCGAAGCTGAAAGAAAAAAACATCTGAAATATATCTCAAACATATATCACACTCAGAATAACTTAATCTGAGTAACTGTCATATCTGCTGATTTGATATAGAAACATTGATACATTTTATTTTACAGCTGCATTTTATGTTTATTAAATATGTTTCACATATTTATACTTGGATCTTTTTTAAAGACATTAATATGCAACATTTTATAAAATGTAATAATGTACATATTTACAAATATCCCCCTGCCCTTGATGATTATATTTGTCAATTCAATATTGATATTGGTACGCTTTTATTTGTAGATATACATTTTTTTGGATTTATTTTTATGGCAGATTTTTTTTTCTAATTTCACTTTTTTTCTTTATTTAAAAAAAATCATTTTCATAACTGTTTTTTGTTAATATGATAGTTTAAGATTATATTGAAATCATTTTAATCTTCTTGTTAGTTTCTGCTCAGTATTTTGTACTTATCAGAGGAGGAGGCTGGCTGTGTTTTTTGTTCATTTTAATTGAATTGAATTGAATTTTATTTCATTTTGACCCTCCCTGAAGCTACAAATATTTTCCCTTGAGCCTCCCCGAGTAACTGGTGGAAAACGTATGAACCTAACTCCACCATAAATTAGTTATTAGATTTTTAGACGTACCCTTTGATGTTTGAAAGTTAAAACTTAAAAATAGAAGATGCTGGTTAGTTTGTGTAAGCAGTTCATTTTTGGCAAAATTTTAAATGAGACACACACTGATGATGAACTATCACTGTTTAAAGCTCTGGGCTGAGTTCGGCCCAACAAAATGTGGCAAAACATTTATTTAAACAGAAACAGTAATGTTTAACATGTGTTGTGTTATCCAGATGCATTGCCTTAAAATACTGGTTAACTGAAATCAGTTCAAACATGCTTTATTGGCACCATGGGAAACACATGCATTGTCAAACCAAATAGTTATGTTCTATGTATGTTGTATGCTCCTCCCCTAAGCCAAAATTAAAAACACGAGTCCCTCCCTAGTGCTTAAAAAAATATTTGACATGCCTCCCCTGTTTTGCACCACCCCCTTCCTCCTCTTAAATAATGAACAGTCCCCAAAAACAACAGTTCTGAATGTTGAGCATTGTAGCAGTTTGTAAATTAAGATGTGTGTGAGAAAAACAGATTTGTGTGTATGCTACAGATCCCACTGGTACCACAGACAAGTGGGAAAACAAAGGTCCAAATCATCTGTTATACACTATACTGCAGCTCTCAACATATATACAGTAACACTGGCACCAGCAGTGTCTGTGATTTTTCATATTTGTAGGTATTTATACATTGTTTACAACATTATGTAGAGGTGTGTTCAAACATAATGCAGAGGAAGTGTGAATGTGAAAACTGGAAAAAATACACACGCAAATACTAAAATATTTTTAATTTCAACAATTTTCTGGAAGCACAAAATGTTGCACCATTTTTAAAAAGTGCAGGTGATTGTGAGATCTCTGTATGAAGGCTCGGTCAAAGCATCATGGGAGATGCAGTTGTGAAAGCCATCGAAATGTTTAAATGTTTAATTGAGGTGTTCAGATGTTACTGTCCTGAGGCTTCAGCACTCAGTTTATCATTCAGTTTTCATCTATAAAAATAAATGAGCAATATCTTACAGCTGGGGCAGGCTGATTCATGGGAAATGTAGTGATCTACCGAGACAGTTAAGATGTGAGGATTTCCAACACAGCATTTGTTGGTCAAAAAAAGAAACTTTATTAATAAAAGAGGTGTTTTCAACAGGGCAGGTTGGTCTGAAGAGCTTTATACAGCAATAAAAGACCACAACAGCTTTGACGAATGTGCGTTTATCATCACTATTCTGTATAATATACTCAGTCCAACAGATGAGTGAAAAGCAGAAAAGGCCACAAGGCTCTTAAACCGTCTCTCGGTTCAGTTTGAACAGCTGCAGACTGAAAACTGGGCATAAAAGAACATCCTCTACAGCTCAGTTTCTCACCAGCTGCCAGCTTATTTGCTGAGCTTATGATTAAGGAGTTCTTTTTTCCAGTCTGTGACTGCACTTAAACGCACCATTACACAGGAAGAAGGAAGGAAAAAGGGAAGGAAGGAAATATTGATGGGAAGGAGGAAATAAGGAAAGGAAGGAACAAGGATTAAGGGAATATTTAAAAAGAGCGAACTTTGGATTAGGGACATTGTAAGTAAAACATACATTATCACATAAATGCAGCACTGTAACAGATTTTAGAGAGAAATAAATAGATAGAAAAGTACAAAGAAAGTTTTTAGGTGGGCCGCCCAAATGAATTCTATTTACAGGAAACACTGCACCCCTTCTCCTGCTGTATTTATATGTTAATAACATTAACACAAGTGCTTTCAGCAAGTGCAAAAAGCAAACTGTAATCAATTCTCTGCATTTAGGAGAAATCTTTGATGACATGTTAATTTTTTTTTTTGGTTTCTTTTAGGCTGAATCTTATTTTGATAGTTCTGTCCATCTTTCTTGTCAGCCACCATGTCATGTTTTTTAATGAGCAAAGATTCAAAAGTCATCGACCAGGAGTCAGCGGACCTTTACATTTAACACCAGAGAACATCTCTAAACAATGACCAAACTTACATTACAACTCAACTGTCAGAGCTTAAGTCTCGCACACACACTCTGGGCATTTTTGGACAGTCTGGTTTATAACCTATGCCTGCGACAAAGGATTATTCTCATCATCAATTCATTTGCAAATTATTCTTCTAATTAACTATTTTTGCTATTAAATGTTAAAAAAAAAAAAAAAGAAAAAATCTCAATGAGTCTTTCCTAAGTCCAAGGTGACATCTTCAATGTCTTCATTTGTCCAACCAACAGTCCAAAACCCAAATATATTAATTTAACCATTGTAAAAAGCAAATTCCCTCATTGGAGAAGCTGCAACCAGAGTGCCTGCCCGGTCAAATATACTTATAACTCACAGAAGAGATGGACAAAACTACCAAAAAGATACAGACATATCTGCAAACGCCTTTAAAAAAAATCTAATAAAATGTCTGCTTTGCAGAACAGAGTGTGATTTGATCTTTTGTTTGAACTAAAAAGTAAATAAAAAAGAAGAAAAGTGCAACAAAGAAGAATCTTAGCGCTGTCAGTTGGGTATGTTCAATGTCTCTGAATACTGCAGTACCCAGAAGCCTCGGCAGCCAGCATCCATCATGTTCAGAATGCTCTGTCAATACAGACAGAAACTAAACAAGAACCTGGAGCTTTCTGACTGGATTTTTCTTATAGCAATACTCCAGACTTGTAGTTGACTTCTCTTCTAGAGTTGTCATGTTCACAGTCTGTTACCTTTGATGTGTTCTCAGTGTTCTCAGCATCTGTACTAATATTTCAGCCAAGTGAGTTTCTCATTCCACAGTCAGTCAGCTGACACTGATAAAGCAGAAACACTAGACACACTAAACATAAAGCCTCTGGAGCAGAGTCTCTACTCAAATCAACACTGAAGCTGCAGCAGCCTTCACATCAAAAGGTGACTGATAGCACATCACTCTGCCAGTTAAGTCATAAACCACTGTTAACTGTTGGTACGCTGCTGATGATCTACTGATGTATGCCTGTTATTAACAACATGTCTGTCATTTGAGCATGAAAATTTGTTATTGTCCTTAACTGAAGGTCGACTTACTAGCTGTTTGTGGAGCTTTCAGCAACTACAACAACTTCTTTTTATTTTTCTTGTGGTCTCAAAAACCATGAAATAAGGCTAAAAGCTCTGGAAAAAGCCAGTGAGTGAACCTTGTTGAAATTATTTTTGTCCCACAGTACGACTGATGTCCACTGAGTGATAACACCTCTACACACAATTAAAAAAACAAAACAAGTAATACTAGAATATAATAAAAGCTATGGATATCTGACATAATGCACTGGCACCTAGCATTCATGGTTAATCACTGACATGCTGTACAGTTAAAGGGTAACATTGGAATTTAACTACTTGGACCAAATTTTCACGGATTTTTGTGTCCATGTGGCTAGAGGAGACAATTTTTGAAACTGGTCCAGTATTGAGAGAGTCCTGCAGCCAGCAATGATGAAATAGACTAATGTAATCCCTGGGGGCAACTGAGCACTTATTTTATTATTTATAGTTTTATTTTGTTTCTGTCCACTTTAAATAAAGTGTGTTTTACAATGATAAAATTTAAGTTTATCTAAAAGGAGTCTAGTGTGTTTGACAATAGCCATTTCAGGGCTGTTCTGCTTAAACAAAAAGATCTTACTTTTTAACAAAGACGTTGGGGTCCTTTCAATCTTTCAATAAGGTTTTCAGCCACTTACAATAACAATCTGAGCCTGTCAGTGGCAAAAACAAATGCTTTCAGTGGACTTACACTGACGGTGCTCAATTTCCCCCAGGGATTGCATTGCAGCCTGTTTCACTGCTGCTGCCTGCAGCCCTCTTGCTCAATACTGGACCAATTTCAAAAATTGTTGTTTCCATTAGACACTTAGACACAAAAACATGGGAAAATTGGGCCCAGGTTGAAAAATAACGAAGTTACTATTCAACACTGTCGCTAAATTTAATTAATAAGCTGCAATTTAAACAATGTCCAACAGGCTACACTCACTCCGCTAGCCATGTGGGTAGAATATGTAGCAAGGACTAGCCGCAATAGCTTAGACCAAGTTCACATTATCACAGTTTTACTCAATATCTACCAGTGAAAAACCACAC